TAATGTATAGCCGTTGTGCTCCTCTTTCCAAACTGCTAACACAAGGTAGTAAGAAGGCAGATAAGAGACCAAAATTCTCTGTCCCTTTTGAGCCGATCTTGTTAGTGACATTAGCTCTATCTATGTACTAATTTCTTTATCAACATGAAAGGTACATCACAGAACCTACGTAAACGGGTCAAGTGTTACAATTTCATATTAGAAAACGAATGCCTTTAGGTACCATAAAAAACAATTTGGATAATATATTTCTTTCACTTCTAGCAGAATTTCAAGTTTCAAAAAAGTTGGAGTTGGAGAAACTTCAAAGACAGTATAGCCCAAACCCTTCAATATATGGATTGATACCTTTACCTCTTCTATTTCCACTGCTTGCAGTGCTTTTTCAATCTGATCCATCTGACAAAACTCTCTTCACCCATGACCCATGATGTCCTCACAGTCACTCCTACTCTAAAGCCTTCTGTGAATCTCACAGAAGTAATACTCACTTCCTCTTTGGGGCTCTGGGAGTAGTAGTTAATGTCTGGTCTTTTCTCATCTATAAAATGAGATCACTATTGTGCCATGAAATGAATACTTGACAGAGTCAAACAGAGAGGACAATAACAACCCACCTTTTTTTTTTTAAAAGACAGAGTCTTGCTCTGTCGCCCGGGCTTAAGTGCAGTGGCACGATCTTGGCTCACTGCAACCTCCGCCTCCCAAGTTCAAGCGATTCTCCTGCCTCAGCCTCCCGAGTAGCTGGGATTATAGGCACACGCCACTACACCTGGCTAATTTTTGTATGCTTAGTAGAGATGGGGTTTCACCATGTTGTCCAGGCTGGCCTTGAACTCTTGACCTCGTGATCCGCCCATCTCAGCTTCCCAAAGTGCTGGGATTACAGGCGTGAGCCACTGTGCTCACCACAACTTACCTACTTTATAACATTGCAGATGTGTCAATTACCTGTATATTTAATCTCAGATCCCTTCTGTCTGTCTTTGAAAAATTTACGGGAAACATTTCCTTAGCTTCCTTCTTTTTGAGTTTCTGAGTATGTATTACTCATTTGAGGCTGTGGGAAATTGGAGACCAAGAGGAGGGAAGAGGGATGGGGTATTTTTACCCTTGGCTTTCCTGGTTTGGGATTGCATCTCCAGAAATGGTAGCATCTACTCCAGGGCTCCTCTGTGCTTCTAGCTTCTGAAGGTGACTATGTCTGTGGGATTTGGTGGTACCACCTTTTTCCCCTATTCCTCTAGCCTGGGGGTTACAGTGGCTTCCTCCTATTGCTGCTCTCTACCTTGTCTCAATATTCTCTTTTCACTTCTTAGCTCTTCCATCTTGTATGCAACCATCTCCTGTATTGAATCTTCCCTGTTTCAAATACCTAGACAGATTTCTGTTTTCTGAGTGTCTCCTGTTATATTAGACAAAGAGAAAAGGAGAGGAGAAACAACTAATATAATTATTGACAATGTACTGCATATCAGGCTTTTACTCTGGGTGTTAAATTCATAATTTCAGTATAGCATAGTGGTTAAGGTTACAAAGTTTGTCAGGGAGACCAGACTTCAGATCCCAGTTCTGACACGTACAAACTTAGTCTTACCCTGTTTCTACATCTGCCAATTAGAGATAAGAGTAGTATTTACATGTAGAGTTCAGAGGATTCAGAATCATATGTATAAAAGCACTTATCACAGAATCCAACACACAGTACTCAATGTTAATGTTAGTTATTAATAACAAATTTATAATAATAATCTGAACAAACCAATAAGGCTGGTATTATTAATATTCCTCATGACATGTGAGAAAATCAAGATTCATAGAAATGAGCTAATATGCCCAAGGTCACATAGCTAATAGAGGGATGCTAGGATTAGAACTCTGACTAGAAAACCTGTTTTTTTCTACTATACAGAATGGGCTTACAGATGAAAACATACAATTGGAATCTATATAAATATTATAGTTTATGAATATAAAGCTTAAATTATCTGGCTCCCTAGTTAATTGCATTGTTGTTAGGAGCAGAATTTGAGAGTATCCCGAATCCCGACAAACCCTATCCTGCGGGCTGGCCTACAGCACTGCAAGGATAGCAGGTTGGTCAGGGCTGACAGCGGGAAGCACTTGGCACTGGGAGGCCACACCCACACTCCGACAGGCCTGCTGGCAGGGGCTGTGGAGTGGGCCTCACCTACTCATTACTGCCATGCTGAGGGGGTAAGGGCTAATGGACTGCCAGTCCAGGGGGACGGTCTGTAGCTCCGCGCAGCTCTCTCCACAGCATCCAGGCCTGAACCTGTGACCCCAACTCCGCGAGCAGAGCCATTACCCACCCCTGAGACTGCCGGCATTAAGATCCTCTCATTACTGGCCATGCAGATTGTTCCCGGCGATAATGAGGTGGCAAGAGAAGAAACCATCCTGGGGGAACTTCTGAGAGCCAGGCCTTCGACAGTAGATGAATTCCTAACCTGTCGTTTTAAAAACTGTCTCTCCAAATTGCCAGGAATACTTTTTTCCACGAAAGCTTTGACCCTTCTCTTTATCTTTATTTTTAGACTATGTGCTGAAAGAGGTAGAATTCCATACTCACTCACCCCTTTCTTCCCTTGCATCTTTGTTTTTATCTCCATCCTTCTCTTGCCTCCTCTCTCTCCCTTTTTCTCTCTTTTTTCTTTTTCCCCTTTGTTCCTTCTCTTTTTTCCCTTTATTCTCCTATCCCTTCACACAGCATAAAGATGCAAGCTTTGGAACAAAATACATTATGGGTCCAAATTGCAGCTCTGCTCCCTGGTAATTAGGGATTTGGGCAAGATAATCAATTTTTTTTTTTTTTTTTTTTTTTTTGGCGCTTCTGTTATTTATCTGAAAATGGAGACTAAAATTTTCAGGGTATTAAGGTTATTAAACGACCTTATTTATCGAAACAGGCCTGTTAAGGTACATGGGCACATAACCGGCACAGAATAAATGCAGGCACCTTCCTGTATTCAGCAAGGCTTTATTGAGTTGAGTCCATGTTATATGTCAAGTCCTGTGGTAGATACCAGGAGACAGAATAAGTTTTGGTTTCTTCTGTTAAGTAAGTTTTCCATTTTGACACTCAAGAAAAGCCTGGGAATTTTGAATTTTCTTAAACTAAATAAAGATAAATATTCTTCCTAGTGTACATCAAATATCCAATTGGATGTAACTAACTTCTTTTCACAAAGCTAAGCAAACTGATGCAAAGGACATCATGGCAATTAAAATGTTCATATCATCTAACTCATTTTCTTGGGTGATATCTTGTCCCTCCCACAGAACACGTTTACAGAAAGAAGAACTTCTTTTCTTTTGTTGATTTTATTTTCTGTTGATTTTTTTTTTGAAGGTAGGATTATGAACTACTTTAAGGCCCTCTGAAACTAGGAAGGATGTGAGTAAAGTACGTCACATCCTTATTTTTATTTGCATTTTTTAAATTCCTAATGAAGTTGAACACATTTCCATATTAGTTTCAAGGTACTTTGCTAGAACTTGTTTTATGATTTTAATTGGTTACTGTCCATCTGGTATCTTCTCTACTACGCCATGAGCTTCCAGAGAACAGAGCCTGAGCAGCACTTGTCTTTGTATTCTTTGTGTGGTACAGTAAACAAAGCATCTCACACAGACTGGATGCTGTAGAACAGAGTTCCTGCCATGTGCCAGCCACTGGTGCTGGGGATAGAGGGATGGGAGCTCTCAGAGGTACACTCTAAGTCCACGGACACCTATAATCTCTGGGCCACTCGCTGACTGGAGAAGAACTGATTTTGTTTGAAACTGAAGTCCAAAGTCCAGCTCTGCCACTTACTGGTGGTCTGATCTTGGGCAAAGTTGCTTCATCTCTTTGAGCCTCAGTTTCTTTAGCTGTAAAATAAGGACAAGCTCCAAGATCCTTCCAAATTCTTATCATGACATGATATTTGTGTAATATATACATAGCCTGAAAATGAGATTCAAACTTTAGTTATTTTGGAAATTCTGTTTATTATGCCATGGATTGTGTCAAGCAGTTTCACCCAAAAGAAATATAGCATGGGCTATGAATGCAAGCCACATATGTCACCTTAAATTTGCTACTTAGCCATGTTTAAGTAAAAATAAACAGGTGAAATGAATTTCAATAATATATTTTCTTTAATCCAATATATCCAAACTGTTATCATTTCAACAAGTGGCACTGGCCACATTTCAGGTGCCCAATAGCCACGTGTGGTTGGACAGAGTGGCGTGAAGTGTGGCACAGGGGAGGTGGGCCTTTGCTGCTGCTGCTGCCCTCTGGTGGATGTACAGGTGAGTGGCCTCCCACAAATGAGGGGTGTGGGTACAATGAAGTCACCAGCCCGTGTGTCCTACTAACCTTTATCATAGCCCCTTCACTCCTCTCATTTAAAGCATAGATACTAATTTTGATTTTTTTAACCCATTCGCTTGTTTATAGTTAAAGAGCCACCTTCGATTCACTAGTCAAAGTAATCACATTGAATCACAGCAGAGCAGAATAAATGAAAGATCTTCATGCAATTCCATACATGTGAGAAATATGGGCTCTTCTACTGACACTCTCTCAGGCCAGGAACTTAACTAGGTCATCTCTCTGCCTCAGTTGAAATTCCAGTCAACAACTGTTTATCTGGCATCTAAGGAAAAAGGAAACAAATAACCTGAACTATTTTTTTAAAGGCATTTGTTCAGCATCACGATGAGACTATTACATTTAGCAATCAGCAGCATGGGTGCAAAAAACAATCTACATTAAAACCCTTTGTTGGAATGCTTTACACTTTCCACAGAACAGAAACTAAAATAACCTGTTATACAATTAGTCACAAATATAGTCCTCGAGTTTTTTTGCCCATACACATGATTATTTGCCTAAAACATGTCTTCTTTGTAGCAGCTAGGCCCTGCCACCGCTGTGCTTGGCTGAGTTCACAAATCTGTTGTAACCTGTAGCTTCCATGTCACTTCTCTGGCTCTCCTCTCCTGCTAAGCTTTGTTTCCTAATTAAAATCTTCTGCCACTGCCATAGCTACTGCTGCTACTGGAACCGCCATAGCCACCTTGGTTTTGTGGTTTGGCAAAGTATTGGCCCCCACTGCCATAGGGGCCAGAGCTTCTGCCTCCAAAATTTCCTCCCTTCATGGGTCCAAAATTTGAAAACTGACTATTGTAATTACCCAAATCACTGTAGCTTCTGCCACCTCCAAAATTGCTTCCACTACCACCGCCAAAGCCACCTCTGCCTCCATTGTTAAAGCTGTCATAGCTGCCACTCCCGCCATAGCCACTGCCCTGGTTTCCATAACTCTGTCCACCACATCCATAGCCTCTGCTTCCTCCAGAGTAACCAGTGCTGCCTCCCCCATAACCACCACCAAACCCATTATAACCATCCCCATTGCCACCATATCCACCACCACCATGGCTGCCACCAAAGCCACCATGACCACTAAAGTTTCCTCCATGACCAGAATTGCCATTCCCACCAAAACCACCTCCATGACCACCACCAAAGTTTCCAGAACTTCTTTGGCCTCTTTGGCTGGAGGAAGCACTAGCCATCTCTTGCTTTGACAGAGCTTTCCTAACTTCACAGTTGTGGCTATTCACAGTATGGTATTTCTGAATGACAATCTTATCCATGGAGTCATGGTTGTCAAAGGTTACAAAGGCAAAGACCCTTTTCTTGCCACTGCCTCGGTCAGTCATGATTTCAATCACTTCCATTTTTCCAAAATGTTGAAAATAATCTATTAGGTGATGTTCTTCAGTGTCTTCTTTAATGCCACCAACAAATACCTTTTTCACAGTTAAATGGCCACCTGGTCTTTGAGAATCTTCTCCTGAGACAGCTCTCTTTGTTTCCACAGCTCTTCCATCCACCTTGTGTGGCCTGGCATTCATGACTGCATCCACCTCCTGCACAGTGGCATATGTGACAAACCCAAAGCCCCTGGAGCGCTTGGTGTTTGGATCTCTCAACACCACACAGTCCGTGAGCGTTCCCCATTGCTCAAAATGGCTCCTCAGGCTCTCATCAGTTGTTTCAAAGCTCAACCCTCCAATGAAGAGCTTCCTCCGCTGTTCCGGCTCTTTAGGAGACTCTGACTTAGATATGATGGCAGGGAGAAGAGAGACTTTAACGATGCTGCATCGGTGGCATCCATGGGCGGAAAGGAGCAAGCTGACAAACGTATCTTAACCTGAACTATTTTTGCACTTCTTTCCTATGATAATTATGCTCAGAGTCATCCAGCAACCACATTGAAAGCTTCTGTGGGGCCTTCTGCATCACTGGAGAAGGAATTGATTGTGTCTGGTAAATTATAATTCTTTACAAATTAGAACCAACTATATGACATAGGTTGTGACCTTCTAGTAAGTAGAGTATTTGATGAGCTGGAGAAAAATTATTTTGGAAAAGAAGAAAGAGATTTTGGATCCAGACTTAGATTTGACTCTTAACTATGCTATTTGCTATATGACCTTGAGTTTGAAATTTAGTCTTTTTAGATTTTAGTTTTCTTATCTGAAAAATAGAAATGATACCTCACATTGCAGGGTATTCTTAGTATTACATGATCACCATTTATTCAATAGATACTTATTGAGCACATATTATATGCCTGCCATACTCATGCGCGCGCGCACACACACACACCCACACACACACACACACACACACACACAGAGAGCAGTGAATAAAATAGAATCCACTTCTCCTTTCATGGGGCTTTTAGCCTGGTAGGGAAAGAAAAGTGTTTGAAAAGGGGGCATACAGGACACCATGAAGGCATGAAGTTGGGAACCTTATGGAGTCTCAGGCAGGGTACCCTAAAGAAGTGATATTAAATGGAGACCATAACTATGAGTAGAGATCATCTAGATAGAGAGTTGTATGGAGAAGGGTAGAGGGTGTATAAGGCAGTATTCTAGGCAAACAGAACAGCATGTGCAAAGGCCCTGAGTTCAAAGACAACATAGATCAGTTGAGCATTTGAAAGCAACTCAGTCCAGAAGAGAAAGAAAAAGCAATGAGGCTGAAATTTATCGGGCCAGATACAGCAGGCTCTTGTGAGCCTATAAGAGTTTGGTACTATATTCAAAGAGCATGGAGCTATTGGAAGATATTAAACAGGAGGGTAATATTATTATATTTCTTTTTGAATTCTTTCTGGTTCTGCAGTAAGACAGGTATTCAGTTATGGTGAGGAGAACAAAGTGTAGGTTACAGCAGAAATAAAGGTGAAATATGATGGGATTTTGGACTAGACATGTGGTAGTGTGATGAAGAGAAGGAATTAATCATTAATCTAATGAATATTTATGTAGAATAAGAGAATTAATCACATTGCTTTATTTTTATGAGTTGAACAGTGGCACATGGCTGATAGATTTTGCCTTGCTGAGCTTTTCCTAAGTATCCATAGTTCATTCAGCAAATATTACTGATGCTCTACTACATGCTACATGTTGTTCTAGGTGTGGGAAATACTGTGATGTCTTACTCCATTTTGTGTTGCTATAAAGGACTACTTGAGTCTGGGTAATTTATCAAAAAAAATTAGAAGAGTTTTTTTTTTTCATATGTACTTTAAGTTCTAGGGTACATGTGCACAAAATGCAGGTTTGATACATATGTATACATGTGCCATGTTGGTTTGCTGCACCCATGAACTCATCATTTACATTAGGTATTTCTCCTAATGCTATCTCTCCTCCTCTCCCTCATCCCTCTATAGGCCCAGATGTGTGATGCTCCCTGCCCTGTGTCCAAGTGATCTCATTGTTCAATTCCCACCTATGAGTGAGAACATGCGGTGTTTGGTTTTCTGTCCTTGTGATAATTTGCTCAGAATGATGGCTTCTAGCTTCATCGATGTCCCTGCAAAGGACATAACTTATCCTTTTTTATGGCTGCATAGTATTCCATAGTGTATATGTGCCACATTTTCTTAATCCAGTCTATTATTGATGGACATTTGGGTTGGTTCCAAGTCTTTGCTATTGCGAATAGTGCTGCAATAAGCATATGTGTGCATGTGTCTTTATAGTAGCATGATTTATAACCCTTTAGATATATACCCCGTAATGGGATTGCTGGGTCAAATGGTATTTCTAGTTCTAGATCCTTGAGGAATTGCCACACTGTCTTCCACAATGGTTGAACCAATTTACACTCCCACCAACAGTGTAAAAGTGTTCCCATTTCTCCCCATCCTCTCCAGTGTCTGTTGTTTCCTGATTTTTTAATGATTGCCATTCTAACTGACATGAGATGGTATCTCATTGTGGTTTTGATTTGCATTTCTCTGATGGCCAGTGATGATGAGCATTTTTTAATGTGTCTGTTGGCTGCATAGATGTATTCTTTCGAGAAGTGTCTGTTCACATCCTTTGTCCACTTTTTGATGGGGTTGTTTGTTTTTTTTCTTGTAAATTTGTTTAAGTTTTTGTAGATTCTGGATATTAGCTTTGTATCAGATGGGTAGATCGCAAAAATTTTCTCCCATTCTGTGGGTTGCCTTTCACTCTGATGGTAGTTTCTTCTGCCGTGCAGAAGCTCTTTAGTTTAATTAGATCCCATTTGTCTATTTTGGGTTTTGTTGCCATTGCTTTTGGTGTTTTAGACATGAAGCCCTTGCCCATGCCTATGTCCTGAATGGTATTGCCTAGGTGTTCTTCTAGGGTTTTAATGGTGTAAGTCTAAGATTTAAGTCTTTAATCCATCTTGAATTAATTTTTGTATAAGGTGTAAGGAAGGGATCCAGTTTCAGCTTTCTACATATAGCTAGCCAGTTTTCCCAGCACCATTTATTAAATAGGGAATCCTTTCCCCACTTCCTGTTTTTGTCAGGTTTATTAAAGATCAGAGGGTTGTAGATGTGTGGCATTATTTCTGAGGCCTCTGTTCTGTTCCACTGGTCTATGTATCTGTTTTGATTATTGTAGCCTTGTGGTATAGTTTGAAGTCAGGTAATGTGATGCCTCCAGCTTTGTTCTTTTGGCTTAGGATTGACTTGGCCATGTGGGCTCTCTTTTGGTTCCATATGAAGTTTAAAGTCGTTTTTTCCAGTTCCGTGAAGAAAGTCGTTGGTAGCTTGATGGGGATGGCATTGAATCTATAAATTACCTTGGGAAGCATGGCCATTTTCATGATATTGATTCTTCCTGTCCATGAGCCCATGGAATGTTCTTCCATTTGTTCGTGTCCTCTTTTATTTCATTGAGCAGTGGTTTGTAGTTCTCCTTGAAGAGTTCCTTCACATCCCTTGTAAGTTGGATTCCTAGGTATTTTATTCTCTTTGTAGCGATTGTGAATGGGAGTTCACTCATGATTTGGCTCTCTGTTTGTCGAAGAGAAGAGATTTATTAGGCTTACAATTCTGCAGTCTGCACAAGAAACATAGTGCCAACATCTGCTTTTGGTGATGGCCTTAGGCTGCTTCCACTCATTACAGAAGGCAAAGAAGTGCTAGCTTGTAGAGGTCTCATGGTGAAAGAAAAAGCAAGAGTGAAAGTGGGGAGCTGCCGGGGTTTTTTAAACAACCAGCGTTCATGGGACCTAATAGAGTAAGAACTTACTCACTTCCCAAAAAAGCTTAATCTATTCATGAAGGATCCACCCCCATGACCCAAACATCTCCCATTACCCAATTCTAAAGCCACTTTCACATATTCAGCTATCTTTATAGCAAGACCCCACTCTTGGTACCAGTTTTCTTTTTCTATTTTGTTTTGCTATGAAGGAATGCCTGAGGCTGGATAATTTGTAAAGAGAAAAGGTTCATTTGGCTTACAATTCTGATGTGTGGAAAGGTTCAATATTGGGCATCTAGTGGTCTCAGGCTGCTTCCACTCATGGCAGGCAGTAGGTGAGGGAGAGCCCATGTGTGCAGAGATGGCGTGGTGAAAGAGGAAGCAAGGGGCTGGGGAGTGCCAGGCTCTTTTTCAACAACCAGCTCTTGAAGGAACTTTAGAGCAAAAACTCACTCACCCCCGAGGGAGGGCATTACTCTATTTATGAGGGATCTGCCCCCATCACTCAAACACCTTCCATTAGACCCCACCTCCAACACTGGGCATCAAATTTCAACATGAAGTTTGGAGGGGACAAATAACTAAACCATAGCAGATGGTAAATGAAAACAGACCAAAATTTCAGCTCTCATGGAAATTATATTCTTTTGGAAATATAGTAAAGATAATGTATGAAAGTAGGTGCCACATGGTAGTAACCAAAAAACATAGATTCATTTCCTTCTTCCCTTTCCTAGCTATGGCAGAGAAACCCAATTTGTATATTTACATTTAAATAACTCTGTGAAATTAGTCTGCAAGCTAAACCAATGCCGTACTACCAGATAAAAGTTTGAGATTCCCATGGTGTCAACCATACTCGCTGTTGATCTCTGTTTGGATCTCACTTCCTGTCTTCTCACCTAAACCATGGCCCCACATTATTGCCTGCTAGTTATTTTCACTTGTATGCTATACTGAAGGGAACAACAAGAGGGAAGAAGTTAGCAAGGAAGAATAACACTAGAACTAAAAGTCAGGGCTTTCTTTTTGTTGAACACATACTGGGCATCAGCACTGTGCTGACTTCTTTGCATCACAATTCTAGGAGTATGGCATTATCATCCCTGTTTCACAGATAAAGATGCTAAGTCTTAGTTTCCTGGGATGAGAAGTTGCTTCTGTCTGAATAATTAGCAAGCAATTTTAGCTGCCTTTCTCCTTCCATTTCTCTGCCAAGAGGAGATAACAGAGTAACTCCTATATCTACAATTTTAAAATTCTCATGGCTTAAAGACTCTACCAGTGCAAAGAGTTCTTTCCACTCCTCCATCTTTATTTCATAACCTCATACCATTCATTTTTGGTCCAAATTTCTTTCTTTAGCTCCATAAGGCATCTCAGATTTTGTGTTTCAGTCAATAGGCATGCATGGGGACACCAGATACTCTATTTAAAAGCATGGACCACTACGTTAACAAGAAGTATTTACACGCTATGGGTTGAGAAACCTGCATCTCCTAACTGCAATGAAAGAAGGGCTGCCTGCAATGCTGCTGGTTACAGCTAGACATAAAACCCATTATCAGCTCATTGGCTGTTTGGACATAAAACTGCTTGGTCTCACAAAGATATTTCCTCACCATGGGGATAAGTTTAATAAGA